CTTTCCTAGCCCAGAGGCAGGAAGCTGGATGGGAAGTGGAGCAGCTGGAGCACAAACAGGTGCCTATGTGGAATCCCTGTGCATGCAAGGTTAGGTCTTCTGCCACGAGGCTACTGCACTGGGACCTTTTCTTGTTGATTTGTAAGAGCCATAAATACACTAAAAATAACTTTTTAAAAGATTAATTTTTTTATTTGAAAAGCAAATGTACAAAGAGAAGGTCAGAAAGATCTTTTGACTGCTAGTCCGCTACCCAAATAACCACATCATCTGAAGCTGAGCTGATCCTAAGCAGGAGCTAGCTGCTTCGTTTGGGTATTCCAAATGCATACACAGTCCAAAGACTTTGGGCCATCCTCCACTGGTTTCCCAGGCCACAAGAAGGGATCTGGATGGGAAGCTGAGCAGCTGCGAAAACCAGTACCCAAATGGGATGCTGGCCCTTGCAGGTGGAGGATTTGCTTGGTAAGTCACAGTACTGGCCCACTGGATACATTTGTTTTCACTTTATTATTATTATTTTATGATACAATTCCATAGATTCTGGGATTTCCCTTACTTGCTTCTGGCACCACCTGATCAGATCAAACAAATCAGCAGGACAGGCAGTTCTCTGCCTGAATTCGCCTCCTGAGTTCCTGGTGAACTCCCTTTCCCATCTGGCTGCTGGTGGGACTGGGATCACCACTTGTTGAATACCACTGAGGTATCTGGTCAGTGCTACATCATTCCATTTTCTCCGATGATTCCAGATGTCAAAGAGTCTCCGGGTATCTTCTTTTGTCAGTGTCCTCTCCTATTTCCTGGAATCTGTCCTTTCTGCTTCACTCTGGCTAATATTCTCTGTCCTTACCCTATTCCGCCATCTTGATTCTCTAAGATGAACTTTTTTATAATACATGTTGTAAATAGCGCTTTGTTTTACATTTTGACTATTTATCATACTTTTTGAGATACAGCGTTTCAAGTGGGAAACAGTGTTTACAGGCTCAATGTTTGGAATTCTTGACTACAGATTTTCCTAAAGCATCACTTGGTATCCACTTGTGAGCTTGTGAAAATGGAGATCACAATCTCTGATATCTGCTCTATTACTGTTCAGTTCTAAGGAGATACTGAGTCCATCAATATTAAGGTATGAAAAATTTATAGTAAAAAACAGCAATAAAAGCAAAGCTAAGGTATTATGGTCAGTTGTTTCTTACAAAAATTGTAAGTAGATATTTGAAGTTTTAAGTAATAAAGTTTATCTGGAATTTATGTAGTTATTGTAACTGGCCATTACTGTCATCTTTCGTTTGGATTCTTGTCTGTATAGAAAGTGGAGCGGCTGGGATATGAGCCAACACCCATATGGGTTGCCAGCACTTATAAGGTAAGAATTTAGCCAAGTGAGCCATTGTGCCAACCCTAATGATGTGTTCAATGTTTTTTACAAGTTAATTTTAATAGTTTTAGCAATTGGCAAATACATAGAGCTGTTGACATTCTTTCCACAAATATTAAGTGAATTCCATTGTTTCAAGCCTTGGGGATACAATAGTATACCTAAAGTTCTAGTGATGAGTTCCTCCAAAGCAGATAACCATGGGTCATTCAAATCAGGAGAATACCATGAGAAAAACTGAAGATGGTGAGAACAATATATTGAACCACAAGGGGTATTTTCAGAAGTCCTTTCTGAGTGGGTGGCATCTGGGCTCAGAAAATATGGAAATAAGTTAGCAAAAAGCATCCAATGCATTTATGCTAGGTTAGCTATCAGCTAGATTACCCAGTTTCTGTTCCAGTGAATGGCTGTACTAGATTCTAACAGTCCATAAAGCAGCAGTTTCTTCTTTGCTCCTCTGCTCCAGAATAAGATGCTACAACTTCCAACATGGCCAAAGATTTCCGTATACTGGAAATCTAGCTTTTCCGAGGCCAGTACCATAGCTTAACTGGCTAATCCTCCATCTGCAAACACTACCATCCCATACAGGTGATGGTTTGTGTCCTGGTAGCTCCACTTTCCATTCAGTGCTCTGCTTATGGCCTGGAAAGCAGTGGAGGATGATTCAAAGCCCTGGGATCCTTCATCTATGTTGGAGACCTGAGAGCAGCTCCTGGCTCCTGGCTTCAGATCTTCACAGCTCCAGCCAATGGCGGCATTTCTGGAGTGAACCAGCAGATAGAAGATATTTTTCTCTGTAAGTCTGCATTCCCAATAAAAATATATAAACTTTAAAAAACTATGAATACATTTTAGAGAATTTTTATTATAAGGGGTAATGATTTAAAAAATGACAAAATATGATTTCCAGGAAGCCATGTGAGAAAACATCATATCTTTCCTTGTTTAATCATAAATATTTGAAGTATTGCAAATATTTACCCTGCCCTATAAAGACTTGCAGCTGGTTTCCCCTTTGTTTAGCAACAGGAATCCTATAGCAATATATCCGTGGACACAACGCTTCAGACCCCAAGTTTTGGCATTGGAAAGAACAACAGAGGTAGCTTTTATTCACTGATATCCTCTCATGGGCTGACGTGAGCCTAACTTCTTTTCTATTTAACAAACCCTCAAATTCTCTGAATGCTCCTCTGGGTCATATTTTACACCCTGGACCTTCTGTAATGTCCTTTACTTCCCAAAGTTTTAATACTCGAGGATCTCCTCTCAAAAGTGGCAACCAGAGTAAAGCACTGTACTCGGTACTGAGTATGGTTGGCCTCCACTTCCCTCTCTCGAGATACCCTTGGCACATTCAGAGCTCAAGCACAGGCAAAGTTTATTTTTCCATTCACTTATTGTTTATAGCTGTTGTCTGTATTCACAATAAACTAGGGTCTTTTTTATTTTTTTACTAGCTAAGTTTCTTATTCGGTGATTTTTCTTTAAACATCTGTTTATTTGCTTGAAAGACAGAGTTAGAGAGAACTAGAAAAAGATAGAGACAGAGAGATGTTCCATTCATTGATTCATTACCCAGATAGCCACCATGGCCAGAGCTGAACCAATCGGAGAAGCCAGAGATTTTTCCACGTCTCCCACTTACGTACACGGGCCGAAACACTTGGGTCCTCAGTCACTTTCCTAAGTTCATTAGCACGGAGCTGGATTAAAAGTGGAGCAGCAAGCATTGGAACTGGTGCCCATTTGTGATGATAATGCCATAGACAGTAGCTTTACCCACTGTAGTAAACAGCCTAATACTCAAGAACTAAGTTTTTTTTTTTTTCTTACTTTACTAAACTGGACACATTTTATGTATTTCATAGTGCGGATTCTGAAGCAAAATGATACTTTTCTCTCTTCTCCCATGCATTCATCTTCCTGTTTTCTTTCTTTTTGTTATGATGCTATTTCCAAAAGAAAAAAAAAGAAGAGGAAAAGGAAGGGGGGTGTGAGTGAAAAAGATGGAGCAAGGGAGGCATGGAGGGAGAAAGGAAATATAATTATGTTCTAGAATTGCATCCACAAGCCATAAAGAATCTATTAAAAGTAATTAAAAATTCTTGAAAAATCTAAAACTGATTCCATATAACCATGAACATTCACATTATCTAAAGAAATATTTTGCATATTTATCTGATGCCTTGATATTGTTGGTTTTATACCATTTTAATTTTCCTAACAGGTTTTCTCAGCATTCTGCAGCATGTACATTTATAAAATGATTTTTTGTTTCCTTTTGGAAGTTGATTAAAAACTGTTGAGTGAGAACAGGGTCACACACATGTTCTCCCCATATCCAACAGGTTGTCACCACCACCATGTTGATAAGTGACCTGACATAATAGCATTCAGGAGACAATTTTCGGCTTTGTTTCAGGACTTTGTGAGAAAGTACCTGAAGGCTCAGAAAATCATTCCTTTTACTTGGGCTGGTGTGACTCACCAGTGAAGAAAATAAAGCAGATTGCAATAATCTGGGTCAAGGCAACATTTGCCAAATTTTAGTAATTATCACTTACATGTTTTGTTTTTACACATTTAATTCTGGGTTTTGTTGTTGTTGGCTAATCTGGTTTTTTAGCCATTCTTCTTTTTGGAAATGGGGATATTTGTCTTCTGTCACCTGGTGTGTCCTCTTTTTCAGAGCTGTTAAAAATTGTTCTTCAGGGTTCAATAATAACAGCCACATACTTTTTTCTTATTCAATTTTCCTAATAACCCTGCTATATGGTAGTTGTTTTATACCCAATTTACAGATGTAGAGTCTGAGACCAGTAGTATCAATTCAGATATTCCATGTCAAAGGCTTTGCTGAAACAGAGCTGATTCAAACTCACAAATAGGAAGCAATCTCAGGGGGAATGTCCACTACTGACTTGGTATAACTTAGCCAAGGCCTACTGTAAGAAAGGCAGGTTTGGTACCCTTTCTCGTTAGTGAATTATTAACAGTCTGTAGAAAAGAGCTGCTCACATTTTCCTGAGACAAATATTCACCTGGATCTGAGATTAATGCATGTTTTCCCTTCAGTGTGGCTGTGATGAGTTTGGAAGGGAAGAAAAATATCTTAAACATGCACTGAAAGCCCCTGTATGGTGGGACGATCCAACATGAGCAGGAGGAAGTGAAAAACCTTACAAATTATGATTCATTATCTTTCACTCCTTTAATTTACAACAAACTGACTAATAGCCTCCCATCTCTTTGCAAACAAACAACCGCCAAAAGCAAACCATTACTTCCTGTGGCCTATTACAAAGCAGATGAGGAAAAGCTGCAGGTCTCCATTAATATTTATAAATGTTGTAATGCTCATATTTCCCATCTATTCGGAAAATCAGCCAACGTAATTAAGGAGTATAGGGAATTATAAACTTGAAAAATACCAGGAAAACCTTGCACATGGAAGTTATCAACACTATTTTACTTCTATTATAGCATCTTAATGACTTAATTTTCCACAGATTGCATCTTTTAAATGTAAATTTCTGGGTTTAAAAAAAACACAAAATTCATTATTAGCAAAGCAACACAGAAATTTTTCAAACAGATGTCTTACATGTCTGGCTTCTCCACGAGGTATCGGAAATGTTTACCTCCAATGATTTTCACCCCGATCTCAGGCATTGTGTCTGAGTTACCGGGAGGAGTCTTCCAAGGCAAAGACATGATGCTTCACACAGTCTATTCCAATCTGAGGGGTGGAAAAATAAGCAAATCATTCCCTTGATATTTAACTAGGCAACTACAACAGTCTTGTCAGCAACAAAAATAGTAATAGCAAGACCATGTGTGATACCAACAAAGGATACAAACATACCATCTTGATACATTGAGCAGGTAAGTTAAAGGCATTTGGTAGGGGCTGGGTTGTGCTGCACCAGGTAAGGCATCCCATATCATCGTCTTTGGTGTCCTAGGTACTCCACTTCTGACCTAGCTCCCTGCTAATGGTATGGGGAAGGCAATGGAAAATGGCCCAGGTGTTTGGACCTCTGCCACCCACATGGCTGTCGCTAATGAAGTTCCTGGCTCCTGTTTCTGGCCTGGCCTGCAGTTCACTTTTACAGCCCTCTGGGGAGTACAACACTGACTGGAAGTGCTCTCCCATGATCTGTCTCTCCCTCTCTCTCTTCTGTAACTCTGAGTTTCAAATACATGCATATGTATATTGTATACATATACAAATATACATTTGAGAAATAGCATTTTATAAAAAGGAGGTACAAAACAATTTTGATCTTTGTGTGTTTTCCATACAGCTGAAGAGAAAGCTCGCATGTGAAAGATGCACTATTCTTTTCTTTGAAGATGAGTTGAGACAGAATAATTCTGGATAGATGTTAATGTGTAGCTTTTAATCCTCCCACATCGTTTGGTTGTTTCATGACAACTTTCTGTTCTTATATCAGACTCTAAGTAACTCATTTTGTTTTTTTCCTTATTACTTACACGGTCTCATAGGCCCAGTAAAACTTGTATTAATTCAATTGGCGTTTTGTGTGTGTGTGTGTGTGTGTGTGTGTGTGTGTGTGTGTGTGTGTGTGTTGATAAATTTGAATCTCAGATTCACTTAGTACCCCAAAGCAAAGAAGTGGCGTTTTTCCATCCTCATACCTACAGTATCTCTGTATTTTATTCCTTCTAATAAAGGTATGAGTAAAACATTCTTGATTACTATTGTTCTTTCACAGTTGATGAAACAGTTGTAATGAATCTACCTAACTTAGTCACAGAAGCAATGATACACTGAGCCTGCAGCCCACCCACACAAATCTAATGAGGCATTAGTGGACTCTGCCCTATAAGACATCGAGTGGGATCACGTGAGGTCCCCCAGCAGACTGGGGCTTCAATAGTAGACAAGAATATTCCATATTGGAATGCTTTGGTGCTCAGTTTCCTCCTTTACAGAACTGGGATGGTTCCGGTGTGCTCCTGGGAATTTAGGATGCAGTGAGATCTCGTGCTTTTGCAGGAGCTGTGTCTGCTGGATGGAGGGGGTGCTTGCAGTTTTTGCAAGAATCCAATGAATCTTAAGTTGAGATTTTGCATAAAATAAGCACTGCTGGTTCGAACATGCTAAGGGTAACAGAAAGTTCTCTAAATCTGGCCAGCAGCTCACTACTCTTTGATAAAGCCTTTTGAAAACTGGAAGCCCTTTAGAAATCATTTTGATGCAAATCCTGGTTCTACAAATTCAGAAGCCAAGGTTACGGAGCATGTATTAGTTGATCAGGGTTATGTAGAAAGTGAAGGATAGAACTGTTTTCAGTCCTCTAGTCTTTCTAAGACCCCAGCTTCACACTGTGTGTGAACAGCCCTGAAGATCTACTCTGGGAGTGAGGTCCTGCGGATCTGCAACCTGTGGGAAACTTTGTAAAAGTCAAAGCCTAGAATTTGTGAGGGGCGCTCCTCTCCCGGCTCAGCAGCTGCACAGCTGGCCGCCGTGAACTTTTCCAGGAGAGAGAAGATGACAGTCTTACCACTGCAGCTACGTTTTCCAGCCCACCGGAGCTCACAGGTGTGCAGTCTGCGTCTTCCAGTAGAAGCCCAGGAGCAGAGAACCGGTGGATCCAAACGGGGCTTGGTGATGCGAACCTAGGAACTGAGTTAATCAGGATCCTGGCTTTGGGGGCGGAGGCTGCACTTCTCTGGTTGCTAAGGACGCATAAGGCTGTTGCTGGGCGGGAACCAAACAGACCCACCAAAGCCTGGGCGGGCCTTCAGTCCCAGTCTAGGGAGTGACTGTTGGCTGGCACAGAGCCCGGATCTTGAAAAATCTTTGCCTTCACACTTTCTTAAACATCTACCGGAACCTCGGGGAGTAGCCTTCCCTCTTAGGCTTCCGTTCCCTTTCTAAGATTTTCTGAATAGCTGGGAATCTGATTGTATCCATTTGAATCAAGTCTTCTCCACTGAATGGGGTAGGGAAATCCTTTCTTTTTAGATTCATTTTCCTCTTCCATAAAAAGATGCACCGTCGACCCAAAAGGGAGTTGGTGATGAAATAAGAATATAATAATGATTTTGAGTGCCATCCACAACATGTCAGTGCCAGATGCCTTCCCTAAGCAAGCTGCTACCTCATAAGATAACGATTACAAATGCAATAATCTTAATTGATGGCAAAGAAAACGAGAATAAGTGAGAGACAAGATTTGAATACGGATTTGCATCTCTTAAACTCCCAGGCTCTTCTGATTCAGCTAAGTGGCAACAGGAGAATGTGAGTAAAGGTGCTTTAACTTCAAAAGCATGTGATTAACGGTTTCCGCAGGAGCAGCAGCTGCCTTAGAACCCAGACCCTCTAGTTGTATCGTTTCATCATTTACCATCTCAGCTATCAGCCTGTGTAGCCAGAAATGAGTGGCACACTTTCTGCCACTCCAGGGGCTCACTCTGTTGTGGGTGAGACACACTTTGACACTTGGTGATACACAAAGTGCGGTGAGAGCAGAGGAGAAAAGGCAGTACACGTTCTCTCCTGCAGTCCACCCTTTCCAGTGCTGTGAGATCGGTCTTCCCAAGGCCCAATTCTCACAGATTCATGTCTCTAAGATCTCATCAGCCGTGAAAGTTGTTCATGGTTTGAGGGCATTTCATTGCTAGCTGGATCTGCCGCTACTAGGTTTGCTACACTCCACTGATGCTTGTCTAGTTGGTGGAGTGAATCTGCCTTTCATTTCTCTGTGTCTGTTCTTTTGTCATTCTGTTCCTACCATGCTATTCCAGTTCATCCTGTGTCAGCTTTCCTACTTATTCTTAAACTTCATCTCAAATGATCAACGATCAGTTGGTTGAGAGGGTACACTTGGACTTGTATGTCTTGTGTTCAAACGCTAGTCATACTACTTCATTCTCATCTTGGGATAGTAATTTTATGTCTCTGTGCCTTACTTTCCTCTTCTGTACAATGAAGACAAACTGGGTTACATAAATAAAGCGATTAGAACAATGTCTGAAAAATAATAAACAATGTTAACTATTATCACTATCTGTCATGAAGCCAAACTGGGTTTCAGACTCTGATAATGATTCATTTACCCTATGTATAATTTGTAGCTTCTCTCTTTAAAGAAATACATGTATATTTCTATAAGAGTGTGGTTATTTGTCTACCTTAAATGCTAAATCTTCTTGAATTAGGCTTGTGTGTGGCTGGCTGAATAATGCGCTGTACATCCTCCCCCCTTCCCCGAGGATGTTTATAACCAACATGTTTGTATCTTGACCTTGGAACCTTTGAATGCTATCTTCTGTGTCAAAGCTTTGTAGATATGATTAACTTAAGAACCTTCAGATGGGGAGATTATCCTGCCTTCTTCAGGTGCCCTAAAGGTAATCACAATGTCCTGACAGGGAGAGGGGCTCAGTGCAAGAGAAGCAATAGAATATGTGACAATGGAATGGCTGTGAACTAAAGTAGGGCTAATGAGTAGTGGATGCAAGTGGCCTCGTAAAACTGGAAAAGCTCTGTACTAAAATCTCCAGAAAGATCCAGCCCTGCTGATCACATGACTTTAGCCTACTCCGACTGATACTTTTGGATATGTAGTCTACAAAACTGTAAGAGAATAAACGTGCGATTATAAACAAATGTGTGGTAATGTATTACAGCAGCGACATCGTTCTATAGATTTTTATACTTTCTTGGTCAAATATTCTGTAAACATCTTTAGACTAAATGAAGGGGGAATAGAACAAAAATTAAACAGTAAAATTTTCTGGAAAAGACTCCAATGAACGCGTTAGCTATTAGAGTTTTTTTTCCCTATTATGTGAAGATTTTCATCTTTCCTGTCTCTTTCATGGAGCACTTGTGTGCTGTCAACCAAAGTGCTGCTTCTGTTGTGACACAACTAGAGTAACAAGTTTAGGTCTGAGTTAGCTGGGAGTCTGTGCAAGTCTCTCAGCGTAATTCCATCCCATTACTCAACAATCAAAATGTCCCTTTCAAGGGATGCCCTTGATTCATTTGGAAACTAAGTTAGCAAAGACATAAAAATAAGGATTTTAAGTTCCATGTGCAACTTGTGGAGGCATCACAATATACCCAGGTGGCTTTGCTCATATGGAATCATCAACCCCGTTTCATAAAAGAACCCAAAAAATGTGACAGCATCTGTTTGTCTATTTTTTTAATTTCTCTCTCTCCTCATTCTCTCTGTGGTTTTGCCATAGATCATAGCTGAAGGTGCTCCTTCTTTTACTCTATTTGAGCAATTAAGGGTATTTCTTCACATTCACCGGCCCACATTCACGTTTTCTCTATTACGGCTAAATAAACACTGCTCCTAGTTGAGCACTTAGAATCCTTGTCATTGTGTGAGACAGATGCCTGGAGTAAGGGAACACATTCATGCCAACATCACCTCTGTCTTATTTTCTTAAAGAACTAATCACACCCTGTGCCTTATACAGGCCAAACAGAGTTCTTAAAGCGATAGCTCTTCCTTAAGGTTTCTAGAATGTTAATTTAGCTGTAAAGGCTTTTGGAAATGTCTGTGTTATATTGCCTTTTTCAGAGACTAGGAGGAGGCTGGTCAACAGAGGGAGGCAAAGTTGAAAATGGATCTGATGGGAGAAAAATAAACTGAATTCAGTTTTGCATGAAAATAATTATAGGATTCTGATACACAGAAGAGATTGTAGGACTCTCATACACA